TCTATCTATCTATCTATCTATCTATCTATCTATCTATCTATCTATCTATCTATCTATCTTGTATGTCTATGTGTCTGCAAATATTTGCTCTTTATTTGGATTATTGGCAGCGTTGCCTGAGGTGGCCGAAGAGACCGTTTCACCAAGCAGGGCGCGAACCATGAAGGATTTTGAAAATGTAAGTTTGGTGGCTGGGTTTTTTGACAGTTTTATTTTTTTTTAGATATATGTAGTCCTCAACTTACAACAGTTCATTGAGTGACCATTCGAAGTTTGCAACGTCCCTGAGAAAAGTGACTTAGGGCTGATTTTCACACTCAGCGACCGTTGCAATATCCCCAGGGTGGCGCGATCCAAATTCAAGACTCTTGGCAACTGATCCCCAAATGTTGGAAGTGCAATAAAGAAATTGGAACATATTATCGCTTATGGTGGAATTGTGAGAAAGCCCAAACATACTGGCCGAAAATTCAGAAATGGATAGAAGAATGTGTAAAATTAAAATAGAATTCAGACCTGAAATTTTTCTATTGGGAATTAATGTGGGAAAATTTAATAAAGATGTAATATACTTAATAATCCATGTCACCACAGCTGCAAGGTTACCTTATGCCCAAAGATGGAAAGGTAATGAAATGCCAGACGAGATGGAAATAATTAGGAAAAATTGGATGTGCACCGAAATTAACTCAATAATTAAAAAATAAGACCGAATCTGACTATTACTTTAGGAGAAGTTTTACGACAGGTTGAAATAAGGAAGGAACAAGAATATTAAAGGTGATTAAAGTTTTTATATATATATATATATGTAATTTTGTATTATTTTCTATATTTGTTAGTTAATGATGTAAGACAACCAGGTGTGTCAGTATATATGCACCACATTCATTGTTGTTTTTCAAAAAAAAAAATGAAAAGAAAAACACTTAGCAACAGATTCACATTTATGAATCGGTTGCAATGCCCAACTGCGATTTGGAAACAAGGTGGACAAGGAAAATAACTTGGAAAGTTTTACCGTTAAGAAGTGTTTACCTGGGGAGAAAAGCCAGAGGAATCTTTAGGCTTGCAACTTTTGTTAGGCTAGGCTGCATTGTAAATTGAGTAGTTGCGTGTCTTCCCTTTCATTATAGAAAGGTGCAAGCATCAATATTTTATTAGCAACACATGAGATTTCTCCAGGTAGTACTGCGGTGGCCTAGAGGTGGAGATCTCGCTTCACAGTCAGGATGCTGTGAGTTCGATTCTAGGTAGAGGCAGACATTTCTCTGGGCACAATGAGAATATATCCGCTGAGCAAAACTCCTCACTGGTGACAGGAAGGGCATTCTGATTCTAAAAAGTCGAAATCACACACAGACCGGCACTTTGCAAAGATCTGTTTGCACGTATGCATTGATGAAGCAGGCAGCCATTTTGGGGCTGAGGTAAATTAGAAGGGGGACGTGCTAGCACAGACAGAATGCCGCCACAAGGGAAGGAAAATTTTAGCTCTTTCACTGGGGAAGCAATTCGTTTGCGGGCTCTATCTGGAGAAGCAGGAATTGGCGGTGGCGCCGGTTTCCCAGCGTTTGGAGGGCGAAATTTGGTGATCCGAGCCAAGTTGAACGAAACGAAAAAGGGAATCATCATCATCTGGGCGTCTAGCATTTAGAGAAGAGAAAATCCAGATTATTATTTTTTTTTCCACCCCGGCCTCTTTGCAGGAGAATGGGCTACGTGCCTCCCCCAGTCAGCAAGGTAGTTCCTAATTAAGAAAGCTCCTTTCAAGAGCAGAAATAAAACTTAGCTGGCCACAAGGCTCTCGTATTTCCTGTCAAGAGTTGTGGGAGGCCCAGCAAAAAAACCCCAAACTATTCAAAAACAGAGCAGAAAGTTTGCAGGAAGTGGGAAATCTCTCTTTTCTGACCCCACCCCCCAAAAGAAACCGTTGGAAGGCAAAAAGCCCAGCCAGCGCTCCTAGGAGAATAAATTTATAAATCTATAAAAGTTGATCAACTTTTCTGCATCGACTCCAATTTTAACCTGGAACACCACCAAATCAGGTTGTCCATGATCTATGACCACAATTCTGTTGTTAAGTGAGATGTTGGTTAAGTCAATTCTGTCCCATTTTAATGGCCTTTCTTGCCTCAGTCAGTCTTAGAATAACTTTATTGTCACCTTGGGACATTGCGACCGTCATACATATGAACCAGTTGCCTAATCATCTTTGATCACGTGACCATGGGGTTATTTGGAACGGTTGTAACTGTGAAAAACAGTCCTTTTTCCAGGGCCACTGTGACTTCGGTCACTAAACAAACTGTTGTAAGTCGAGGGCTAGCTGTAACTGCGGCCTACGGAAGTTCGATTTGGGGAAACTGATGGTTGTGGTGTGGACTTTGGTCGTTTGGAAAACTGTTTGAGTCAACATCTTTTCTTTCGCCAGCAAATCACGGAGCTGCGGAAAGAGAATTTCAACTTGAAACTTCGCATCTATTTCCTGGAGGACAGGATTCAGCAGAAGTTTGATGGTCCCCATGATGATGTATACCGGATCGTAAGTGTTGGGTTCTGGGTTTTTTTGTGTGTGTGGTTCCTGGTTTCTGTTTGGGCACCGGCGCATATTAGGACATTACCGGCATGTAAGGACATCCCTATTTGGTTTGGTGGCAGCGCTGCCTCAGATAGAAAAACCCTATGGAGAGTGGCGAGGACAGCAGAGATTATAGGAAGCTCACTTCCCCTGATTCAGGATGCTGCTTATAAGTGCTTAGAGCTCAAAGCATTGTGAGAGACCCCACACACCCATGGTCTGTTTCTCTTGCTCCCGTCTGGGAGAACGCTTTGAAATATTTCTACCAGATTCTGGGACAGCTTTGTTCCTTGTGCCATCCGTCTGGTAAACTTGCAAGATTCATTTTTCCCGATGTGTACATGTATACATCTGAACTAGACTGTTATTGTTTCTCTGTGTCATATAATATGTGTGGGTATATACATAATTTTATATTTATCTTGTTAACGTTCATGTAGTGTATACTGGAGGTGGTGGCCCTTTGCGAGCAAGGAAATTTCATTTTAATATATGCTGATTCGTGTATAGAGGATAGGATAGGATAGGGAAAGAATAGAATAGAATAGAACAGAACAGAACAGAATAGAATAAGGAAAGAATAGAACAGAACAGAATAGAATAGAATAAGGAAAGAATGGAATGGAATGGAATAGAAATAGAAATAGAATAGAATAGAACAGAACTATTGGCCAAGGATAATTAGACACACAAGGAATTTGTCTTCGGTGCATGTGCTCTCAGTGTACTTTAAAAATACACTCATCAAGAATCATAAGATACAACACTTAGTGATAGTCATAGGATACTAAATGAACAATCAAATCATGCTAGGAAACTAAATAAAACAATATAAATCGTAAAGATACAAGCAATAATGTTATAGTCATAGGTAGAGAATGAGATAGGTAATAGGAAGGATGAGAAGAATAGTAGCAATGCAGTCTTAGTAAATAGTTTGACAGTTTTGTGGGAATTAATTGTTTGGTGTTCAGGGAAAAAAAGCTCCCCTTGTGTCTCGTTGTTCTGGTGTGCAGTGCTCTATAGTGTCGTTTTGAGGGTAGAAGTTGAAACAGTATATGTCCAGGATGTGAGGGGTCTGTAGATATTTTCACAGCCCTCTTGTTGACTCGTGCAGTATATACAGGTCCTCTGTGGAAGGCAGGTTGGCAGTGATTGTTTTGTTCTGCAGTCCTAATTATCCTCTGAAGTCTGTGTCTGTCCTGTTGGGTTGCAGAGCCAAATGTTCAAAGTGACAATAAAGTTATTCTAAGTCTTAAGTCTAGCAACACGATATACTCGCCTCCTTGCCAGTGTGGGATGTCCTGGGCCTCCTTGGAGTCTGTCCCTCACGAAGGCCCAAAATTTGCCCCCCCCACCCCGCTTTGGTTACAGAATAGGAAACAGCGCTGCAAAAATTCCTCGGGGAAAAAAAATAAAATCCCAAGTTTTTCTGCATTTCTCTCTCATTCCATTAGAACATCGAGCTCAAAGTCGAATTGGAGAGTGTGAAACGAGAACTTCAGCAACGAGAGCAGTTGCTCCGGAAAGCATCGTGAGTATTTTCCCCCCGGTCGGACGGGCCTCCTTGTTTAATTGTGGTGAGGTGCCCAGCTGGGCTTCCCCTCTGCAGGCCCGGCTGGGGAGGTGGGGGGAGGTCGAGAAGGGAGGTGCAGCCGCACAGCATCTCCATCCTTCGGTCTTCTGCTGCTGTTCTCCTCCTCTTCCTCCTCCTCCTCCTCCTCTTCGACGGTTCCATGTTTGGCCTTTTCAGGAAAGCCGTCGAGAGCTTGGCCCAGGGTGGCGATGCCGAAATCCAACGTCTGAAGGAAGATGCAGAGAAAAAAGTCCAGGAAGTAGAAGCAAGCTTGACTAGCAGGATCCAGCTTCTAGAGGAGGCAAGTCTTAGAAGTTTAACGGCGATGAGAATCCTTAAAGCTTAAGAATTAAGAATATAGAATAGAATAGAATAGAATAGAATAGAATAGAATAGAATAGAATAAGGTTGGAATGGAGTGGATAGTGGAGTGGAGTGGAGTGGAGTGGAATGGAATGGAATGGAATAGAATAGAATTAGAATACAGAGAATGGGCTGCAGACAATCAAGTTCAAAACGTGGTCAACAAAAACTGTAACTATAAGTCCAATCAAGGCAAAATGGGGTAATGAGTCTGGCAGGGCAGGAGAAGGAATTCCAGATGTGAAGGCACGGCCATAATTCAACCCGGTTGGGAGGATGTCAGGAACGCAGATAACCAAAGTCGACACAAGATAAACTCGCGTTTGTTCCCAGCAGATGCCACACTCAGCTTGCATCTCTTTTAAACTCTTAATCCCAGGTGTGGCTAATGAAGGGAATCAGGGCCCTTTCCTCCCCTGTAAGCCAGGCAACCCACATTGTTCTCTCCTTTGTTCCACCCTGCGTGCCCTAGAATGAAGAGGAGTGGGCCTGGGTCTTCCTCTGAACTCCCTCTCCCTTGTTTTACCTCTCACCTGCTCTGCCCAGCCAGACTTTGCCCTTCCCCCCTTTCCTCCACAGCCAATGGAGCCACTCTCCCGCTCCCTGTCAGCTGTTCGTCTTCCTCAGATTTAGACTTCGACAGGGGCATGACAGTCCCTTGGTTTCAGTGTCTCTCTTTTTTTCCCCCTTGAGTGCAGGACCTTCGAACCGCCCGGGAAGAAGTAGAGAAAGCGTTTGCTTTGACGGACCGCGAAAGAGTCCAGCGACTGGCTGTGGAGCAGCAGCTCTCCTTAATCATCACTGCGCAGGCCAAAGATATTGATATCACCGCCCTGCTGGGAGAAAAAGACAGGTTGAATACCTATCCTCTTTTACTGAACCCATAATCCCTCGCGGGGTGGAGTCTGGGCGACTGAATGGAGCTGAGTCTTTTACTGACCGGATGCTCTTCCTGTCACCAATGTGGAGTTTTATTCAGCTGATAAATTCTCATCGTGCCCATAGAAATATCTGCCTCTACCTAGGATCGAACTCACAGCCTCCGGACTGTGGGGCGAGAGCTCCACCTGTAGACCACTGCACCACTCACAGGCTGAATGTCTATGGAGCTTCTCAATCATTCAGGTCAAGGTTGTCCCAAAAGATGCTTTTTCAAGGGGCACCTGGACTTTCTGTTTTTTTCTTTGAAGAGGTTTCGCTTCTCATCCAAGAAGCTTCTTCGGTTCTGGCATCGTTAAATGTCTACGGAGATTCTCAGTCCTCCAGGTCATGGTAGTCCCAAAGGTGCTTTTTTAAGAGGCAACTGGACTTCCAGAAGGTCCAGTTGCCTCTTGAAAAAGCACCTTTGGTACATCCTGAGTAGGCGGTGAGACCCTAACTGCAGAGACTCTACCCCAGGGGTCTGCAACCTTAAACACTTCAAAAAGCCGTTTGGACCCGTTTCCCCACAGAAAAGACAAAACACCGGGAGCCAATAATTTAAACAACCGGTAGGACTGGGTGGGCGTGGCCTACTCAACGTCACTCCCTCCCACCCAGTCACCACCTGCTCTGGAATATAGAGCAAGTCTCCGCCCCGTTCCATCACCCTTACCTTCTCAGGCCAGGCGAGGAGGGAAGGGGAGGGGCCAGCCAGTGGTGGGATCAGCCGACAGGGAGCCCAAAGAGCCCACGTGGCTCCAGAGCCGCAGGTTGCAGACCCCTGCTCTGTCCTGGGAGCGAGGCAACCTTTAGAGTCTGCTTGCTTTCTCCTTCCCTGTGGTGTAAGAGCCTGGTTTTGTGCTCGTAGGTGCATAGAGCAACTGAGGCTCTCTCTGGAAAGGAAAAACGCTGCGATCCAGCTCTTGGAGGAAGGACAGAGAAGACCTTCAGAAGAGAGCCAAGATCCTAGTGCTGCGCTGGATGATGAAAAAGAGAAGGCCTTAGAGGTAAGGGACATGTGGGAGGTTGCTAAGGATGGTCAGTAAGCGGAAGGTTTGTCCCATCCATCCATCCATCCAATCAATAAAGGAGAATATTTATAGCTCAGGGTGGAACTGTGGGGTCCTTGGTGCTGTCTGAGCTTGGTAGTTTTCTTGCATATGTTTCGTCACCCAACTAGGTAACATCATCAATGCTAGAAGAGAATGGAGGTTACAAAGGAGGAGGAGGAGAACTGTGGGGTCTTCGGTGCTCTCTGAGCTTGGTAGTTTTCTTACATATGTTTCATGACCCAACTAGGTAATATCATCAATGCTAGAAGGAAATGGGATTTGCTTTTGTTATATGCACTTGGCTTGACCTGTTTGTGTCATTTCTCCTCCTCCTCCTCCTCCTCCTCCTCCTCCTCCTCCTCCTCCTCCTCCTCCTCCTCCTCCTCCTCCTCGTCCCCTCCCTCCCTCCCTCCCTGCCTGCCTGCCTGCAACCCCCTCCTTTGTAGCACTGATGCTCTTACCTAGTTGAGTCATTAAATGTTTGCAAGAAAACAAACCAAACTGAGAGCTATTTAACAGGGATCAAATCACTTGCACTGATGCTGTTGCCTAGCTGGGTCATGAAACATCGGCGAGAAAGCAACCAAGCTCAGAGAGCACCAAGGACCCCGTACTTATCTGTTCATTCATCCATTCCTTTGTTCAATATGTATGGCCTTCCATCTAACTGCAAGTGCTTCTGTGTGGTGAACAAATCATAAAACAAATGAAGTTACCACCACATTACAAAAATTAAAATAACACTCCATAGCCAAGTAGGGTTTTATAATCCGCAAGGAAGCATCTTAGAAAACATTTTGATTTGCTTCCCTCTCTCTCCATTGTTTAAACCCCAGGGAATGCTTTCATATCAGCCCCTCACTTTGGTGGAATCGATGAGGAGAGGCAATGTTGGTCTCTTCAATTTCTGTCCCAGGTTTCTAGTCCTCATGCCTTCTCAAGGCAATTCTCTTTTTCTCCCTTCCCATTCCCTCGGTTTTTCCATGCTGCTAAGCACAAGTAGCAAACAGCCATCTTATCTTCTTTCTTTCTTTCTTTTTTTTTTTTGGTTATCGCCGAAATTAAAATAAAATTGTTTCTCTTCTTGTAGATTCTCAGGACCGAATTCAGCAGTGAAAAAAAAGACTTGGAAAAAAGGATCGAGGTACGGCACTTGTATCTTTTGCGCTCAGAACTTTAACATCCCCTCGAGGAGAATTTGGGGGAGCTTTTTTTCCCCTCTTAAAATTCAATTTTCTGAAAATAATTTCCCCAAGCCAGAAGGACATTTATCTGCAACCCGTTCTTCTGTAGCCTGAATAATTATTCTCTATTAATTCTGGGGACGTGGTGGCTCAGTGGCTAAGACACTGAGCTTGTCGATCAGAAAGGCCGGCAGTTCAGTGGTTCGAATCCCTAGCGCCGTGTCACGGAGTGAGCTCCTGTTCCTTTTCCCGGCTTCTGCCAAACTAGCAGTTCAAAAGCATGCAAAAAATGCAAGTAGGAAAATAGGGACCCCTTTGGTGGGAAGGGAACAGCGTTCTGTGCGCCTTCGGCGTTTAGTCATGCTGGCCATGTGACCACGGAGACGTCTTCGGACAGTGCTGGCTCTTCAGCTTTTAAACGGAGATGAGCATTGCCCTTCTAGAGCCAGAAACGACTAGCGCGGACGTGTGAGGGGAACCTTTACCACCACAATACAACGTAGGTGTGTTAAAATCGAACTGAATCTGGATTTACATTTTAAAAAAAAAAACACTTTTAGGGTCTCCAGGAGAACCTTCGTGACCGGGAAACGGAGCTTTCTGCTGAAAAGAAAAACGCATTGAAACGTGACAAAACCATCCAGGGTTTAACCCTTGTTTTAAAAACCAAGGAAAATGAGGTAGGTGAGATTTTTGTCTGTCCTGCCAGGAACATCTGAAAAAAACGAACAAAATTTTGAGGCTGAAGAATATATCAAAATATAAATGCATCCTTGCCTGTATCAGATTCAAAGTCCTCTTTTCTATGAAGGGAAGCATCCTTTACTCTCTGTGGTCATTGCTGGTTTCCATCTCTCTCTCTCTCTCTCCCTCTCCCTCTCTCTCTCCCTCTCTCTCTCTCTCTGTGTGTTTGTGTGTGTGTGTGTGTGTACTGTATATGTATATATATTTGTTCTTTCATTTTGTTTCAGAATGGAGAACTCGCTTCTGAAATAGAAAGCCTGAAAGCATTGTTGGCCAAGTCTGGAGAGATCGGTTCCCAAGCTCAGACACAGAAATTCAAGGTTAGGCAAAGGAGATGGAGGAGATAGTAGTATTTGCAGCTCAGGGTGGAACTGTGGGCGGTCCTTGGTGCTCTCTGAGTGGGGTTGTTTTTGTTAGGAATATAAGTTACCTAACAGCTATTTGGGTTGGACAATATATAAACCAGGATAGACATTTTAATACTGTCTCTTTAAGAGAATCATAAAAGTGTAATTGAGTGTGGCTTCTCAAACGGCCATAAGATGGAGCCAGAAACCTGGGTTGTCTTAGTCTTAGTCTCAGAAGAGAGTGTGTCTCAGTCTGTTTCCTTCTGTTGGAGAGTTTTGCCGTTCTTCCTAATTGACTGATATTTTTTGGATTTGATGTAAGTCTGATACTGAACTGTTTTTGACACTGGACTTTGTTATTGGATTATCCCTGGACTGAAAACTGACTGATCTTACCTATGAATGACTTTGGACTGCTTGTTTGAACTTTGCCTAACGTTTCTGAAAGTAAAAACCAACATTATCTCAACAGTTTTCTTGCAGACGTTTCATGGCCCAACTAGGTAACAGCATCAGTCTAGAAGCGATTGTGGTTTGTGGAGTGGGGAAGGAGGAGGAAGGGGAAGAGGAAAAGGATGAGTATTGTGGGGTGGTCTCTTAGCTTGGTTGTTTTCCTACAGACTTTTCATGGCCCAACTAGGTAACATCATCAGTGTTAGAAGGGAGTAGGGTTTACAGACAAGGAGGAGGAGGAGGACTGTGGGATCCTTGGTGCTCTCTGAGCTGGGTTGTTTTCTTGCAGACGTGTCATGACCCGACTAAGTGACAAGGAGTGGAGTTTGTGGACTGGGAGGGAAGAGGAGGAGGAGGATGGGGAGAAAGGAAGAGGAGGAGTATTGTGGGGTCCTTGGTGACTCTTAGCCTTGGTTTGTTTTCTACAGACTTTTGATGACCCAACTAGGTAACATCATCAGTGTTAGAAGAGAGTGTGGTCTCTGGAGAAGAGGAGGAGGAAAATTATGGGATTCTTGGTGAATTTAGTTGTTTTTCAGCAGACCTTTCATAATCCAGCTAGAGAAGACACTCTGTTCTAGAAGGTGCTGTATATAAACAGAGAACAAAGCCCACTCCCTTCTAGGACAGATGTTATTACCTAGTTGGGTCATGAGACATTCGCAAGAAAACAACCAAGCTCAGAGACCAACAAGTCCTTCATGGAGTGGGACCGCCCTACGAGAGGCCCAAACCACTTCAAATGTAAGAGAAGGTCACCATCCCAAGGCACCACGTTTAGTCATGCGCGTATTAAAAACAACAACAACCCCACCACCCTTTTAAGACCTGTGGGAAAGGCTGTTGTAATAACCGTTTTGATTTGCTTCTCCTAGGAAAGTGACGAAGGTTCTCAGGAGCTACTGATGGAGAAGGAGAGCCTGCTGGCAGACCTGCGCTCGCAAAACCTGACCAAGGACACCGAGAACCGGAAGCTCCAGCGGAGGCTGAAGAGGACCGAACAAGAGCTGAGCGAGCTGCTTCTGGAGAAGGAGAAGCTGCGGAAAGACTTGGAAGAAGCTCGGTGGCAGAAAAACCAGAGCGACAAAACCATCCACGTGAGTGCGCCGCTTTTCTTGCCCCCCCCTTTTTTTTTTTGAATATAGAAGGAATAGACTAGACACCCAGACCTTGCTTATCAATGGAGACCGAGGGGAGCAAGTGGCCAGTTTTAAGTTTCTGGGTGTTATCATAAAAGAGGACCTGAGCCTGGGCGGTGGTGGGTTTCCAAATTTTTTTCCTACCGGTTCTATGCGCATGCTTCAGCGCGTGCGCGGGGCTCAAATACAGACCTCTGTCCATGCCGGTGACCTGCCTGAACTGGCTCTTAGCTCAGCTAAGGTGCAGCAATCGCGTGAAAACTTGGGTCTCTTGTCCGAACCCAAAGTAAAGATAATTAGAAATAAAAAATAAACCCAACACAAACCACACTGAAGTAATTAGCACGGCAGGCCAGGATGATAAATTGCAGACTTTCAAAGGATAACGCACCACCCACAGTTGGGAGGACGCCAAAACCCAGATAAGCCTCGACCAAAATAATGCACGCTTTGCTCCCAGCAAGGAGCCGTGTGCAAACACCCCACTTATATTCCTGTTCTCCCAGCTGAAACCAATGAAAGGGATCAGGGCCCTTTTCTCTCCCGTAAGCCATGTTGCTCCCTTCTCCGTTCTTCCCTGCGTGCCCTAGGATGAAGAGGGGGTTAGCCTGGGTCTTCCTCTGAATGCCCAGCCGGGCTGTGCCCTTCCCCAGTTTCCTCCACAGCCACTGGAGCCACACTCCCACTCCCTGTCAGCTGCTCAACCTCCCTCTCAGAATCAGACTCCAACGTCGGAGGCTTGTTTTTTTTACTACCGGTTCGGTCGAACCGGGCCGAACCAGTAGCATACAGGAATTGTAGATTTGCGGCTGTCATCTTGCTTCAAGCCAGCAGAGGGCTGTCTCTCTCCACAAATGGCCACAACGTTTTCGCCTTCTTTTTGTGTGATCTACTTTTATATGCCTGAATTACCAATGCGGTGTTGTTCCCCGCTGTTTCTCTGGTTTTTTTTGTTTTGTTCCTCTACCTCCCACCCCTTCTGCTCAGGTGAGCCTGCAAAAAACCTTTCCTGCAAATACGGGCGACTGGGATTTTGGGGCACCTGAAATGAATCTTTTACCAAGACAATGTCGTTCACTTCGTGACCGTTCGAAGTTCAAAGTTACAACGGCACTGACAAAAGGGACTCGTGGCCGGTTTTCACACTTATGGCTGTTGCGGCATCCCTGTGGTCATTGCTTGACAACTGACTCACATTTATGACGGCTGCAGGGTCCTTGAGTTTACGTGATCCTTCTTTTGCGACCTTCCGACAAGCGGTTGGGAAACCCAATTCCCTTCATAACCGTGTTACTCATTTCACGTCTGCGGTGACGTTCCGATGTGCAGCAACCCATCTGGGTTTGCAAATGGGGGAGTGGGGAGCCGCTCCTTCCATCGTTCCCCCTCCTCCAGTGTGTCAGGACTGAATTGGGGATGATGGGAATTGCAGTCTTGGTGCATATGCAAGGATGGAATATGCCCAACCAAGCAGTTTGGGATATCGGGAGTCCTTGATGCTCTTCGAGTATGGTTCTTTGCTTAGAGACAGCGCGTTACCTAATTAGGTAACATCATTGGTGGTAGAAGAGAGTGGGGTTTGGGAGGAAGAGGAGGAGGACAAAGAAGGAGGAGGAGGAGGAGGACGAGGGGAAGGAGAGGAAGAAGATGGAGGAGGAAGAGGAGGATAGAAAAAGGAAGAGGAGAGGAAGGAGACTAAGAGGAAGGAAGAGGACAGAAAAGAAAGGAAGAGGGGAAGGAGAGGAAGAGGAGAGGAAGGAGGAGGAAGAAGAGGAGGAGGATAGAAAAAGGAAGAAGAGGAAAGGAAGGAGACTAAGAGGAAGGAAGAGGACAGAAAAGAAAGGAAGAGGTGAAGGAGAGGAAGAGGAGAGGAAGGAGACTAAGAGGTAGGAGTAGGACAGAAAAGACAAAAGAGGAAGAGGGGGGAAGGAGAGAAAGAGGGAGGAGGAGGAAAGGAGGAGGAGTGTGTGGTTCTTGGTGTTCTCTGAACTTTGTTATTTTCTTGCAGAAATTTCATTACCTAATTAGGCAACATTATTGGTGGTAGAAGAGAATGGGGTTTGGAGGAGGAAGACGAGGAAGAGGAGGAGGAGGAGGACAAAGAAGAAAAAGGAGGAAGAGGGGAAGGAGAGGAAGAGGGAGGAGGAAGAAGAGAAGGCGGAGGAGAGGAAGCAGATTAAGAGGAAGGAGGAGGAGGACAGAAAAGAAGAAAAAGGAAGAGGGGAAGGAGGGAAAGAGGAAGGGGGAGGAGGAAGAGGAGGAAAGGAGGAGGAATAGCGTGGGGTTATTGCTGCTCTCTAATCTTTTGTTATTTTCTTGCAGAAATTTCATTAAGAAACTAGAAAACCTCATTGGTGGTAGAAGGAGAACTGTGGAGTTGTTTGCTTGCAGACATTTCGTTATCTGATTAGGTAACGTCATCAGTGCTAGTGAGTGTGGGATTTCCTCCCTCTAGGTACAGTAGCTTGCCCTGTCAGTATGGGTGCATAGTAATTCCTTTACTACGGTATCATTTTCTGCTTGATTGTTTGTCTGGTGTTAATCCTTTCTTATCCGGGTGTCGCTTGCCGAAGAGGATACCTTCTGTTTGTTTCCTTCTTAGCCTCTTTATTGTCTCTTTGGAATGCTTTGTAAACGTGGTTGATCTCTGCGTGCCCCTTGATGGCTGATGGTGCCTGTGTGCCGAGCTCCCAAGATTTCCCCAGCGTTTTCGGGATTTCGCTTGGGCAAACAACCCAGCTCAGAGAGAGCACCGAGGACTCCACAGCTCAACCCTGAGCGATGTAAATTCTCTAATATTTTATTCTAATATTTCTAATATTATATTTCTAATATGATATTTTGGATATTTTGAGCTGGATAGGACAGCTGTGTAATTCACCCAGTAGGGATGAAAAGGTACCAGTGGCAGATGAGCTCCGTGGATTTATAGCCGGGTGCACATCTGTGTTTGTCTGTGGACAGAAATTTAATTATATCCAGGATATATGAATAAGGATGGAAGCCTGCCGATTGCCCGTCGATGCAAAAATACGACTGTTTTCTGAATACAGTCTTCGTTGCTCTGTCCGTTGAGGTCTGAATGGGGGACAGGCTGGTTTGACCAAGAATTATATATCCTGGCTTAAGTCCTTCGTGGGCTCGAACCCCGATCTTCTCCAAAATCCTGGGTCCAGATTCCAGATTCTGATCCTATTCTACCACTCTCTTTGCTGTGTTATTTATCTCCCTAACTTAACTGGAAGTGGACCAACTTTGGTTTCTAGACTGAAATAGAAATAAAGTCCTGATTATTACTGGTGTAAGTGATAAATTTCCCATTGTCGATGACGGTTCAGAAGTGCCCCAAGCTTGCTGGTTTAAAGTAGAACAGAATGAGCTCAAGCAGCACAACCTATATCATTTCAGACAAGTGATTGTCCAGTCTCTTCTTAAAAACCTCCAGGGATGAAGTGCCCACGACTTCTGCTGGCAAGCTGTTCCACCGGTTAATTGTTCCCACTGTCAGGGAGTTTCTCCTTAGTTCCAGGTTGCTTCTCTCCTTGATGAGTTTCCATCTATCAAGCCACCTATCTGAAATGGTATAGGGTCTCCTGCTTGGGGTGGGGGTTGGACTACAAGACCTCCAAAGTCCCTTCCAGCTCTATTCTGATGAACTCAAAGCTTCTCTCGTTTCAGCTAGAACTTGATTCCGGCCCTTGGAAACCTGACACCCAATGCATTTTCTTCCTCCCGATTTGGTTCCAATGTAAATAGATAGATGATAGATAGAGATAGATAGATAGATAGATAGATAGATAGATAGATAGATAGATAGATAGATAGGTAGATGATAGATAGATGATAGATAGATAGATGATAGCTAGAGATAGATAGATAGATAGATAGATAGATAGATAGATAGGTAGATGATAGGTAGATGATAGATAGATGATAGATAGATAGATGATAGCTAGAGATAGATAGATAGATAGATAGATA